GATCCAGTGATAGGACACGTGGGAATGGTTCAAAGCTGCGCCAGGGGAGGTTTAGACTGGACATCAGGAAGCATTTCTTTACCGAGAGGGTGGTCAAACACTGGAACAGGCTTCCTAGAGAAGTGGTTGATGCCCCAAGCCTGTCAGTGTTTAAAAGGCATTTGGACAACGCCCTTAATAACATGCTTTAACTTGGTCAGCCCTGAACTGGTCAGGCAGTTGGACTAGATTATTGTTGTAGGTCCCTTCCAACTGAAATAGACTATTCTGTTCTGTTCTATTTATCAAGCTTATGTTCCCCAAATCTTAGGAGCTCCTGGCCCATTAAGTTTTCCCTTGCTTGTCCCCATCTGAAAGATTAACAAAACTGAGGACAATAGAGAATAATGATTTGGCAAATGCTGCTGAACTGCACAAGCAAGACAAAAATCGCTACCCATTTTTTCATTCTAATAGTGCTGGCAATAAAAGTTCCCTCTTTCAAAAAGGGATTGACTCAGGATTCATTTTAACCAACTTGTTCTGTTGGAACTAGGTTTCAAAATTAGTAAAAAATATATTACGATATCCGGAACATTTTTTGCCTGAGTAATATATATCCTCTATTGTACAAGCTTTCTGGTTCTTCAAAACCTCAATTTCAAATGAGCCATTAGGAAATACCAGCATAAGCACTGATGCCAACTAAAGCTTGCATCTGCCTCCCAAGTCAGTGTTACAGAATGTCCTTAACTATAGGCAATTTGACCACTGCATAGTGCCATGCTCTTAAAAAAACACTGACAGAAACATCTCAAGATGGGCAAAGCACAGCTCACAATTGAGTCTTCAGAAGGTGCCTCACTGAATCACTCACTGAAGCCATCTGCTGCCTGCACTTCATGATAGCATCCCATTTGGAAGGTCTCTTCAAGTGCTGCATCAAACACTCCTGTAACGTGCAGACTCGGTGTGGAAGGAAGCCGCCTGTTACCATTGAGAACTGCATAGCATCAGCAACCTGTGATGGAAAGGATCAATATGCCATGACCAGCGTCTGTTAACCCAAGGCAAAGAATGTGGAAGTTTGACAGTGGGGATGCATATTAAAAGTAAAGTACATTGCAAACAAATTAATCCTCATTTTGACTGGATATAGTTGCAGGGCTAGTAATCTGACTCCTTAAAGCTGTTAAGTTACACAAAAGGGTAAATTAGGTTTTAAGAATGACTTATACAAGTTATATGATGTATTAGTCAAAGATTCCTTCTAGCCCAGTACTCTTGTCTCCAGACAGCAGGTGTTTAGGAGCAGTATCAGAAGAGAGTAAACGTACAGGGATACTTCCCCAGGATACTTACGGTTTTGCCTTTTATCTAAAACCTGAAATAGTGATGCAATGTAAGGAAAACATGATGAAAGAATATGTAAGTTGTCAAAAATCTTTCGCCTAAAACCTGATTTTGCCAGTAAGGCTTGTCTTTGACAGCATACAGAGCCAGAAGGGAAGCAGACAACAGCCTTCAGCAGCGACTGCATGGCATGGTGTTTGCTTGTTTCTCATCCTGGTTTCATCCCTTTTACCCTTTTGCAGTAAGAGCAGGAACAGCCCTGACTCTTGTCCCTAACCAGGGAACACAAAGATGAGTGGGACTATTGCAACAGGTGCAATGGAAAAGGGAAGCCTGGAAGGGAGTCCACTCACCAGGGGAATGGAGAAGAAAAAATAAAAAGCCTGCAACCACACTCAAAATCTGAGACTGAGCTATCTGTCATTAGAACAACCTACACTTCAGACTTCCTCTGCTACTCAGAAGCCTAGATTCCTACTCTCGTCCCCTGAAATCCCCACTGACCTCTCATAGCCCTTTTCTCCTTACTACTCTATCCTGAGAAACCTTGAGCCAACACTCAACACAAGCATCTACAATCCCACCAACAAAAGATGAGCTTTCAGGGCAGCCCAGTTTTACTGCAAGGGTTACAGCTGAAGCCACTGTTCAAGCTGTTCTACCACACGCTGCCCACGTGCTACCTAGACCAGACCACGTAGTGCTTGGCAGCACCAGCTCAGCCCCTGCAATAGTGACCACAGAATTGTAACTGACCTCTTCTGGCCTCTTATAGCGAGAGTAAATTCCAAGACCAAACCACCAGTCCTAACTTATCTATAAAGTCTTTGGGGGTAAAAAAAAAAAATCTCTTCCTGTCCAATAGCAAAGGCAAACAAGCTGGTATGATTTATTAATAACTAAAGCTGCCTCTAAGGCATCACCTAAATAGCTAACTGCTGCCTTCTCTGGGAGAGAAGCCGTGTATTTGCTAAGGCTACCAGGAGAAAGTGCTAAGCCAATCCATTTACCGAATTTCCAAGGAATAAAAGATTGTATGAAGGTATTATGAAGAAAATGCAAAACATTAGAGCATCACTGGCAGAACAAGCAATCTTGTACTAAGGAAAGAAATGTGAGACCCCCTATGCTCTGTAATAGGACAGAGAATCTAGGACTGCCTATATTTCTGCTAGGCTGAACTACATTGCTGCAGTCCAGGGAAGACTACAACCATCAGCTGAAAAGTGGCAGGAAATATACCTGGAGAAGCAAACTGCAACAATTCAAACTGATGAGTTCACTGAACAGAAGAAAATGGAGAAGACCCAGATGAAGCTGACCTTCACTGGATTGTTAGCACAAATCACCAGAGGAAGTTGGTTCCTCAGTAAAGAAGAAGTTTCCATCACTCATTACTGAACAGTCCTTTGTATTGTATTTCTGACCACTAAAACCTTCTCTGGCTTTCACTCTCAGTGGCCAAACACAGATGAAGAGGAACCTCAGGAAAGACCTTCTCAAGCAATCAGTTACTTTTACTCAAAGTCAAAACAAAGATGATGTTCAAATCTATGGAAATATATTCCACTCTTCTAGATGGTTAGAGAGAGAGTTTCTAGTAAAAAAATTCAATGTTTTCCAAACAAGGAGAGAAAAGACTTAAATATTTAAACAAAAATGAAAGCATCTTTGCAATCAATATTCATAAAAAGTCTAATCTGAATGAACAAGGTTATAGAATAAACTTGCCCACAATGAAAACAATGTTTCAGCTTTCACTGTGAAAATCTTTGTCCAAAGTCATTGCATGCTAATGGCTTGGATTCAAGGGCAGAGAAACAACAACACGCTAAAGAGTAGTAATGTATGTGCATCGATCTGTGGAACCAGACAGCAACAGTGACTTCTTCACTTGTACATTTTATGATAAAACCTTGCATGGATCTCTGTCTTATGAAAAGTCTCAAGCTGTCAAATTTTCTTTATTCTTTCAGCACACACCTCTAGGAAGAACTGTATTATTTCTTTTGGTAGTACGCAGATATGCAACCAACAACATTTTACAATAGGCAGGGATTTCAGAGCATGAGAATGCTCTAGCCTCATGAGGCAGCGTAGCAGTGTCCCAGAAGGCAATGTTAGGGATGTAAGCACTAACAACAGCCAGTTGCCTGCTCACTATGCAGCTTTTTAGGCTGCTATAGCTCAACGGGGGAAGACAGTCAGTGATCATCAGAAACCTTTCACTGCCATCCTCTACACGTTGCGTTAATTGTGTTAGGTTACTTATTGCAAGGAATAAACAGTTGCAGCAACTGGCCAAAACCAGGGATAAATAACACTTTTCAAATTATGCAGGCAGGATCCCATCTAACTCAGAGTTCTTAATTCCATTGCTGTGTTTTTTAAGCAGAGTGTCACTTGTGCACACAGCCTGTTCCAATTTTAACAACACTGAGAAGCTGTCTCTAAGAAGTGCGTCACAAAAAGTATCTATGAAAGTTTGCTCAGAGGTATCTCCCAGTTACGTGCTCCAGTAGTAACAGAGTAGAAGACAAGACCGCTTAATTCCACAATATCAGGTATACTGCAGGGTAGCCAAAACCAGACTACTTCACTAGCTTACTTACATTAGAACTAGGATTCAGGGGAAAGAATCAGAGTAATTGAATTTAAGCCTAGAGATCTATCAGTGCAAGAAAAGCATGCATGTCAGCTTACACCAAGACAACAGAACAATGAGTGCAATTCTGTGTACCTCAGATCCTGGGGTGGATAGTTCTGGTTAGTTATTTCCACTGTATCAGTTACATGTTTTAGCCAGTACAGTTGGGACCACTGATGGGAATTTTCACCCCTACCTTTTTCATGCAGTCAGGACTTGACACTGACTGATATTTGACTTGTAATGGAATAACATAATTTTTAGGGGCAAAAGGCCAAACTAAGATCAGAAAGGGACTGAGAGAAATCTCTGCTGTATAAAGGCTACTATGTAGCCCAGATTAGGGCTTTGAAGAGTTACTACAGGCAATCATATCTATGACATGAAAAGTCAGTATATAGGCAAGGACAAGTCATACATAACTATGCATAACATATCCACGCCCATTACGAAAGATCATAGCCATTATGTCATTTTCTTCTCTCTTGAAAGGCTCTAATTCTCCTGTTAGTCACGCAACATTAACTACCACAACTACCACAGCCAGCACCAGCAGAAACAGATTTTTGTGGTAACCTGGCCTGTTCTCTCACTTCCACCACTGCTTTTATTAGCAGGTGCTTCCCAGTGCTGGATACCTGTAGCTTGAATCTGTTTCTACACTTCCCCTGTGAAAGGGGCAAAAAGAGTAACATAGCATATAAAGCAGAAGCCAACCTAGCTCCTGTTTAAGTCACAGCAGCCTCAGGTTGTGCAAAGTTTGATCAAGACCAATTAATGCATCTTAAAAAAAAACCACATTAAACTTGCTGCTAGTATTAGATATTAACGACCTTTTAAAACGGGTCTACACAAAACTTTAAATAACACTATCAGCCTTGCCTGCTGGTTCTTCTTAGCTAGAAGAAAACCGCTACATTTACATGGTTCAACAACTGTCACATTCTAGTAATGTTAAACCTCCTCCAAGAGAATGGCCCTGAACAACGCTGAAGTTTCTCTTGTTGAAACTTTTGTTCCCAACCAGAATATTTGAAGGGTACCTGTGTATCAAAGACATTGAAGAGAAGGACACCGTACTGGTGAAAGAGGCAGTCCGAGATCCAGCGGCAGTCATGCATGACCTGAAGCAAGAAAGAGCTGTCAGACAAACTTGTGTCCAACTGCAACTTTTTTGGTGCAGCTAGATCATTACATATGTATATGACCTCTGCTACTACAAATGTCCTCACACACCCTGCACCCTTACCTTCAAGATGTTTTTATCTTCCAGCACCATTTGTAATCCATTTTTGAAAGCCTGAGGTCCCAGAAGGAAGATATCAAACAGAAAAATACGGCTTTTTGTTGCTATCTACAACAAATTCAGTTGAAGAGAAAATGAGTGAGGGACAGAAGAACAAAGGATTTGAAAGTAGGAGAGAGTGCACTGTTGCCCACAAGCCATAATCTCCTATATACAGGCTTATGTTGGGGAGAGCAGGTTTAGTTTCCTTAATGCTAATCCATAAACAAGTCTTGTTTTTTCAGAGATGCTCAGAGGCTCTCACAATAAGTAGAAAGAACGACCCAGTAGTCTACTATACACAGTTAAATACAGCATTTTGAGACATACCAAGAGCAAACCCTATGCACAGTACTTAAAATAAACTCCTACACGTATTATGGTGGCATTTTTAAAGAACCACTTCCAACAAAATTCTTGTGCCCATGATGACATTCCTTTCATTGTCAAAGACCACTACCAAAGAAATAAAGTACATAATTTTCCATCCTAGCATTTCAAACAGGATATAAAATTTACGTTTTGCCTATGTTCAAATTCATAATGGTTTAACAAAAGCTGTTATTTGAAAGCAATTTAGCCATACCAAAGCAAACATTTTGTGGACACTTACTTCTGCATAAACGAGTTAAGTTTGAAGCATGAACTCCCACACAAGTTTTTGCTTTGGATAAACACACTCACTTTTAAACTGATTTAAAAATAAACGAAGACGATTTTGAGCTAACATATTAAGCTTTCTCCTTTCTGTCTCTTCCTTTTAAGATGTTGATAATACCACAGCTAATTGAGATACTGTATCATCTCTAGATGGATTTTACTCCTTCAATTATATAGGCATTGTGATCAGGTCTTGCAGTTTTTCAATAGGTAACAGCTGTACTAGTGTAATACCTCTACCTGTATACAAATATATAAAGATGGCAAACCAAATATGTCACATTGTTATATACAAATGTATATATTGCATACAAGTTAAGTAATTATTATATTGCCTTACAATGGCATAATTCTTTCCACAACAGGTCTTTTATGAAATACCTGATCTGTCTTGAAGAACATCATATCCCTTACTAAAACAGTTATGTGAGTAAGTCTTAAACACAGGCTAATCGCCAAATGTTTCTCAGTTATGCCTCTGTTTAGCGGTACATTTTGGGAAATGTCTGCCTCTTACCGCAAGCCATGAGAGTTTTCCATGACGACACAAATTAACACCTTCTCCTGCTATACTGACAACACACTGCTGTTTTAGGTGCAGCACCTAATGAAAAAAAAAGAAAGGGATAAAATAAATAGTGGCAGAGAATGATAGGCAGAGGGACAAACAGTAAACTGCAATTTTTCTGGTCGTGATCCATATTTAAAAATGTAAATACATATCAAAACCACAATGAATCTCAGATATATAGTGATCCAAGAGAAACAGACACAGTATCAGTCCAGTTACAGATAGACATCTGGAAATTCCACAACTAGAAACATCAATGATAGATTTAGCAGAGATTATGGATAACTAAAGAATATAGACTCCCCCGATCTCCTCCTGAGAAATTCTCCTAAGTAGGTTTTAGGAACTTCCTTAAGATCACATAAAGAAGATGTTCCTTTCAGTTAAAAAGGAGAACTCGTTTTCTAAGGTATAAAAGAAAAACCTGTTACTCTCACAGACATGAAAAGTTTGTAGACAATTAAGATAAACCACCTGTGGCACGCATGTAACATGAGTAGAAGGCATAAAAGAAAAAAGCCAGCGTCTTTTTCAAGCAACAGTTAGATTCCTCTGTAAGCAGGGAAATCTCTTCCTGTGGCAAAGAGCTTTTTCCTCTGTATGTGCAATAGATTTACCATAATAAGAGCTCAAATCGCAACTGATGTTGCTGCAAGACAAAATGGCATGGAGGACCTAGAATATTGCTGGTCTAATTCAGGATCTAAAAAATTCTATTAAATTTAATAATAAATCCATCATTGTCTCCGAGTTCTGACACAAAGCCTTTCTACCAAGTCCACTTACGCTGTTATACATGATTTAAGAGAAAAAGGTCCAGGCATGTCTAGAGTTCCAAACACCTACAAAAGCAACACAATCAATTCCCTCTCCAAATGCCAACAAATCCTCATGTTGTTCCCTTCCTAAACAAAATAATTGTTCACTAAATAGTAATACTGACCCTTCACCTCAGTTACGGGCAATAGAGTCTGAAAACAGCAACCAACACACACTGATGCAGATTCACATCCACCCACTGCAAACTCACATGCACTGCAGCCTTTCCCTGCGTGTATGCACACTTTAAATATACTTTGATGCCAACAGAGATACCATTTCTACTTGACTTAAAGAAGCCAATTACTACCTATTACTCAAATTTCAGTTTCATCTGCAAAAGTGATTTCCAGTATAAGACATCATGAAGCAGTGCTCACAATCCTGCCACCTAATGGATCTACCGACAATTAGAACAGAACAGGCTTAGAAGTCATACGCTGCATAAGAGCTTTCATTAATACTTACTGCTGGGCCAAATTTCTGCTGGAAACAATCAACAACTGTGTACTCCACATTCTCCTTCTTCTCTAAAAGGAGGGGAAAAAAAAAATCATTTGACGCTCGCTCTGCTTGAATAAACTTTGCACAAAGTATGTATTTCAGTTGTATAATCACTCTACTTTTCTGGTTTAGCTGTTCAGTTCTTCCCTCTACTTCCTGAATGCACCCAAACAGACTACTGAACTGTCTGATTCAGATATGTACGTCTAGAGCATGAGCCAAAATTCTGGATTTTGACAGAAAAACCGGCTTTTTAAAAGTGAGTTGCAGCGTTAATTTTTGTTGTTACGATGCATAGAGGAAACAAAAAGGTTTCAGTTTAAAAAATTACATCCATTAAAAAAAAGCACCCTAATTCTCAGGCTTGTCCAGGGGACGAAAAAGATTGTAGCAAAGACAAAACTAACACACAGTGTCATCACAGAACACGGACAACTAAGTGACCAAGGGGACAAAGAGAATTTAAGCCAGTTTTTAATATTTTTTAACACCTGTTTAAGAAGGGTTCTCTTAAAGATTCTCCCTTCTCCTCGGTAAGATGCAAATGTTAATAATATGAATCCATGACAACACAAGGACAATCTTCTAAACTCTAAAATAATAGTCAATTGAAAGATCACATTGAAAGAACAAATTTTTAAAGGCTCCCCCAGATCACATCAACCTCATTTTCTCCCCCACTACCCAGGTAAATGCAGCTAACCTTCCTTTAGCCTATACAACCTTCCTTTAGCCTATACAGGTTTTGTACTCTTGTCACGGCAAGAGAACAGAACGAGCTGATCACGTTTTGGATCTATACCTGTGTACAAGTATACAACAGGAACCACACAACCAAATCAACGCAAGCATGTGACAGCCAGCACAGACCCAAACAGCAATAGTCTTATTGAACTTTGAGTTATCTATCACGCCACATACATTTCAGGTACAAGTATAAGATCAAACAATCACCAGAGAGGAATGCTCACTGGCTGAAGCACTTTGATTTCTCCAAAAGATCAGTTGTGCTGCTCAGCCACTTTTACAGTTGATGAGAGGTACAGGATAAACATTCTGGAAAGCAGATGAGTTTCCTTCTGATGTTGTGAATGTATCTACAGGCAAAGAGCATGCCTGCAGATAACGAGCTCTGTACCTATCTTTCTGTGACCATTGTTCTTTCAGAATACATCCTGTTCTGATACAGGCAAACCAAGAGATCACAGCCTCTGGGAAAGACGTTGTCTGACAAAGACAAACTAACTACATTCCTTGACTAATATCCACATTACCTGAGAGGGAGTATTTTAAGCTATTTGAGGCTCTGAGCTGGCTCTCTAGTGAAACGCAAGGAGAACTCCATGGGCCACAATCTGCTGGTCCTGTGTCTGCTTGTTTGTTCCCTTCAACAGCTGAAGTGCACCTGCACGAGCAAGGCAGCCATACGTAGCACAGAAATCAAAACATTACATATTCCACCAGCACGGACATTTTAATAAAGAAAATTATTTCATCCAATGCCATCTACCTGTATCCAGACAATGAACTGCTGCATGTGAAGCAACTTCCCAATCCAATGTGCATGGTTCTTAAAGATCTTGAAGCTACCCAACAATAAGCTTATTTTGCACAAAAGGGCCTTTATTTCAGATAAATTTTCACATTTATTCTGAAAGTAAAAGGTGAAAGCAGAACCTGAACAGATGTTCACTGCAAAGGTCAGCAAGGGTTTCAAGGGAAGAAAAAGTTCAAAGTACAAAGAATGAAGTACCTGACCTGAGCCCAAGAACCACACAATGTAAGTATCTCTAAGTCTTTACACTGAATCAATATTTGATCCATTAGTTAGTTACTGTAATTGGAGGGCGATTTTACAAGCTCACCAATACGTAAAAGTTATAGTCACTGAAACTTTACTGTAATCAAATGGAAGTTATTAAATCATATAAAATGGTAGGATCTCAGGATCAAAAAAAAAAAATTGAGTTAGTAAACATTCATCTGACTAAAAGATGTCACATATAAGATGCTTAATTTCTACGACAAGACAGTCTGAGGTCAAGAATACTTCACTGGGAAATATGACTTATTAGTATAAAATTCCTTATATTGATATAAAACCATCCCATTATGATTATAGAGCTCCAATCGTGTACCTCTCCCTTTCAATAGAATAAAACATAAAAAAACCCTTTCTGATCAGCCTTTAGATGTAGCTGAAGAATCTTGTATCTAAAATTGCATATTTAAAGGATTAACACAGGAATCTGCTACCGAGGTGAGCATATTCAAGTATGTGTGAACGTAGGCTTACTTAACAGGGAGAAAGAAGACAAGACAGCAGCAAGCAAGAAGACTACTGCTAATCACAATTCTATGTGCTTTTAAACTATATTTTAAGGACTATTCAATAGACACCACTTAATTCCCACTTCTCTTAAGAAGAAGAATAAATTATTCAAATGTGGTCTTGTGAGAAGACTCAAAGCAAAGCCATCTAGGAGCATGGGTCTGCAGGAGTTTGAAACATATTTTTACCAGCTTCCCAAAGTCATATTTATATAATGTTTTGAGAGCATCTATATAAACCTAACCTTCCCTGTGCAATTGTCCTGGAACTGTTCCACCACAGAAGAAATGCTCATGGGAAATCCTCCCTGAAACCACAAGCTGACAAGGAAACAAACCAAGCAAATTCTTCTACCTAGGAACACTACTGGGAAGGAAAAAAAAAAAAAAGAAAAGAGAAAAAAAAAAGAGAAAAGAGAAAAAAGCGAGAGAGAAAAATTGTAAGCAATAGCTTGAAAGAACCTTTTATACAGTGGAGGTCTTCCACTCACCACCTTGTTCACCTCTTTAGAGCAGAGAAATACAATCTTGGCACAGCTGAGTCTGAACATCAGTATTATACTAAATGTAAGTGGTGGTTCCCCTAGCAACCACATCCCACCCCTTCTCCTACCGTGAGAGGAAGGAAACATTTCAACGTACTCAGGGAGCATTGCTGTTCCCTTCCCTGAATCTGGTTCATCCAGCAATTCCACTGCAAAAGAAACAAACAACTTATACTCTAGTGCTGACAAGCAACTTTTTGACACTTGTTATCTCCCAAAAAAAAAAAAGAGAATCATAACCGATACTAACCGCCATAGGACGTGGCCATACATGCAAAAAAAACCCAAACAAACTGAATTCAAAGCATAGTTTAAATAATTTTAAATTCACTCTGATGTACGAATCTACATAAAATAACTTACATCGGTAGCCTAGATAAGGTGTATTTCAGAACGCCAGCATTTAAACAAGACTTAGCATCCCACCAAAAACAAAGTAAGTATTGAACTACAACTAATTACTTTACAGAGTATTACATATACAATAAAGCGGGTACAAGGAAAAAGGCAGAATAGAGTCAGTTAATCACTTGATAAGTCCAGCAGCTGCCTTCTAGCTATTTCCCCCTCAGCACTTTGCTCCCTGCCCCCAAAGCAAAGCAGATGCCAATAGAAAAGCACAGGACCTTTATACACTAGAAGTGTTTTTCTTAAATAATCCCATATTCTTATCACTAGTGAATCATGGAAAGAGGCTCAGATAAACAGACCATTTAATAGAGATGCTATTGCCTGTGCGAGTAAAAGCAAAACCAAGTTAACTAAAACTTTAAGCAATTTAACTGCCTAGCAGAGTCCATTAGTGAAAGTCTTGCACATATAAGAACATACACAATGAATGTAACTTGCCTTCAGGACGTAAACAGGGGACACGCTTATCTCAACTGACTACCTTTGGAGTGGTTACTTTTATTAGTGGTCTTATTGGACTTTATTCGTTATTTAACTAATAAGCTTTAATGCAGTAGAGTCACAAGACCTTCACAAAGTGGGGAATTATTATTATTTCACTGATAGATAATTGGGAAACAAAAGTTCTGTGATTTATACAACATTCTAATTCCTGCTTATTTTAGAAGAAAGATGTGCAACTGAAGATTCAGTAGAGTGACCAAAAAATGGATTTAAAATGCTAAACTAAGAGTGGGCATGATGCCTGCGCCCCAAAATGCGGTAAGAAAAGCCTCACCATTGACTATTTCATGTCCAAAAAACATCTTTACTCCTGGAGTGCTTCTGCCAGTTTCCAAGTTCTTCACTGAAATGAGAGAGGGGAAAAAAATGCAGACATACATCAAGTTCCACTGTTTGGGGTAAAAGCTTCTCAATCTGCAGAATAAAGCAAGGCCCGGGTAGTACTATCACTTATGAAATAAAAAATAATCAACAAATGGGTTATTTTAAGTGACAGCTCTTTCACTCCACAGGAGCGGGTTCCATTAAGATGACGAGTAGGACGACTCAGGGCTGCTACACCTACACACTCTCACAGCTGAGACCACAGGCAGGTGCTGCTAACTTCTACTTTTAAGTGCATGTTTTATTCATCCCAGTGCCCGTTTTGGC